GTGTTTCTGTGGTTCTTTGTCTTAAATGGAGGAACCTGCTTAGCGTATAGCAACAAAATCGGGACATTTGGTAGTCTTGAAAATCTTGCTTTTAAATTTGGTGACAACTGAAATGGATTATTGTTGTAAAACACCCAAAAGATGATTACTCCCAGAGTTCATCTAGTGTCGCATCGACTCTTTCTAGGAGCAGAAGCATGCAATTTAAAATGGCTTGTCAAATGTCAATTCAATGTATTCACATGTCCCAAGGTGGTGGTAAAATCAGAGGTTGAGATAGTGCCTTCTTGCCTGATTTTGTGGGAGCTGTTGCCATGCCTTCTGCATGCTGCTGATGCTGCAAGTGTTCAGTTGATGGCTACGCTTCTCACTTGGTTTGTGGTGTGGCTTTTTAAATCCAAATCTGTCCCCTATCATTCAAGTCCGAGTAGTTATTTGGGACTAGTTGAAATCATATTACTGCTACGTCACGGTACAGAGTGGTGAACACGTTCTGCAGCGTCTTCCACCAAGGAGGGCGTACGATTAATCATTTTTAGGATCCTGACTCAGGCGGGTTAGCTAAACGACAGGAGTACTATCAAATTTGTTTGCTGTTCGAAAGGATAAGGGAGAAAACACATTTTTGGTGCCTAAATTACGGAGGTGGCTTGTGTTGAAACCTGGAAACGATATCGCTTCCCAAAACAAGCCTTGAAGTCACACGGTGAACGGTCGATTATGCATGAAATGGGCGTCCCAGTCATTTTTGTGTTGTGACTTTTACTGTAAATGCTATAATCAGATATGTTTTACTATGCAAGTATTGGCGATTCATCCATCTAGTGATGGTGTGGTGTTGTTTGAAGCGTTCCATCGACTATTGTCAACGAATTAGCCGACAGTAAGTTGTCAAATTCTGACGACTACTACTGCCGGCAAAGCATACGAAATGCACCATGGGTGTCAAATATTCGGACGTCACAATGGTTCTCCACTGAAAAATGGCTAACTTGTCTCCTTCAGGTCAGGCAAATGTGTTTAATAATACTTTTCGCAATTCTCAATCAGCAAGAGACTAAAAATAGGGAGAATGATATGGGAAATAGGACTGTTGTGCTCATTCAGTGTTTCATCTTACCATTTCACGGGTTCTGTAGAGTAAAAATTTTCTTTGCAAAATTGATTCAAATCCAGTGGGTGGGAATGAAACCGAAAGTCTGGAAGAGAAAGGAGGGAAAGTGCGCGCTATCATTGAGAGTCGGCAAATTATCTCAGCACGAGGCCCATGGATGTTCTGGGGGTTACCTCACATGAAGAGTTCTAGTTTATTAAGCCTTGTATTGCCCAACTGCTTTCAAGTAGAGGAAAATATTTAAATAAATTTGCATACTTATTTAAATCTGGAAACATAATAGCATAAAAATGGGTTCCACGACTGCAACAAAATGGTCTGGTTGGTTCCACAGGCAATTACCGTTTTGGGTGAATTGCAGCGCTGACGACATTTTCGCTTAAACTCAGAAATCGTGCGTAAAAGGCTTTTCACGTTTTTAAAGGTGGCAATTTCTGGGAGATTTAGCATAATGCACTGGGAAGTAATTGAAATGACGTAGGTATAATAATTGCCGGTTTTTTTTTTTAAAAACTGCCATTCTATGAACAGGTAGTGATCCTCTCTTATGTAAGTGAGTAGGGCTATCAGTTAAAAGCTGGAAGTATGGAGAGTTTTCAACACACTTTGTTTTGATTTGTGAATTTTTTTCAGCACGAATTTACTTTACTTGTCACTTTTCAGAACGCAATGTGTTGGTAAATGCAGCAAGGAAGCTGTTATCCCCACCCCACACCTCTATTGATGCTAACGCATGTATAAGTCACGATCTTTAACGCGGATGAAGCTAAAGGTCAGCGTGTCTAGCAGATCATCTTTCGGGAGATGTAATCAGGTTTTCGTTTCGGAAACAAAATTCCAGCATTTTTCGCCCAGGGTTACGCAGAGTAAGCACACTACTTTGAGAAATGGCAGAGTCACTTCATCAACTCTTAACAGTAATAATAACGTGAAGGTGCTACTGAATCGGCCATATTAATACACCCAATTGCTGTCATCTTGGATAGACGGCAACCGCCTCACCACGCTGTTCAGAGCGGAGTGGTGGGACGGGCGCCTCGGAGACACCAACACCGACTACGTCGGGTGCAGAGTCGTGGGCCTCCGTCTCCTTTTCGCCCATCTCGGTGAGTCGGAGCTCGGATGACCGTCTCCTTGTGGAGACCATACACCAACTGGAAACCGACCTCGTCCACCTCCGCGTCCGTGAGTCGGACTGCCATTCGGCTCTGCGAGACGCCAAGGAGCGAATTCGCCTTCTCGAAGAGGTACCATTACCCTCAGACTCCTGTATAACTTTGAAAGTCCCCATTACAAATGCGTATTGATAAGAGATAAATACCATTTATTTAGTCTGCAAGCAAAGTTTAAAGTAATTTAAAGGAATGGTGAATGCTTCATGGAGTTATTTTTGGAATTACAGAAACTGGAGTCAGCGAGAAAGGAACCTGAAGAGCAGATTGAAGTGTTGCACAGCGAGTTGATGAAGGTAAAGTTGCGTGAGGCAGAAGGTCTCTTGAAGCAGAAAGAGCTACGGGACCGTATGGAAGAAATTCAGACCCTCTGGGAGAACCATCTGGCTCTCACAGGAGGTGGGAACAACGCTAGGGCCAAGGTGGACTCTGCCACTAACGGTGTCACGCATTCGAGCGGATTTCTGCGGGTCAGTGCAGGTCTGATTCAGTCGAAATTGCGAGGCAAATCCGCCGCAACTTCAGCTGCAGACAATGCGCAACACCTTTCTGATCGTCTGTTGGAGACGAGACTCTGCTCTCAGATCGCTGAGCTACAGCAAAGGGTTGGCATACTTTCTTTACGTGAATCCCTTATTTCGCGAAACTTATCAGCAAAAGCATGGGACGGTTCCAATTAAACTTATTTAAACTAGGAATTTTGATGTTGAACTTAAATGAATATTGATAGAAGAGCATTTTCTACGTGAAGTAGCAGAGCATTCCTTTGAGAACCTATTCAAGATCTGGAAGCCTTATCAATTGATTTGACTTTTAACTTCAGTCCTGAAAGTCTCAGTAGATTGAACCAGATGAATCGAGAGTTAATAGCAATTCTGAGCAAATAAAACGGTTTTAAAAGACGGGATTTTTTGTTAATGGTTAATACGATAAGGCTGTTGTAGAGGTCGTTATACTTTAATAAACATCAAAAGATTATCGGTGGAAAGGCTGTTGAATTGAGCTGACTCCGGATCGTACATGCCCCGTTTAATCCTTTTATCAAATAAGGTTCACGAGCTGACATCGCAGGCGGAGATAGCTGATCGACAGGCGATTCGAAGGGACGAAAAGATGAATAATTTGATAGAGAAAGTGGAAGGCAGTATCCTGCGCGAGGCCGCACTTCGTGCAGAGCTCAAAGAGGCAGAGTGTCGCTGTGCGGATCTTGAAACAAAGGTTGGTTCTATCGTTCTGTAAGCTGTCACACCTTGCCGTAATCCAGCCACGCCGTCTAAAATCAGACGGAGTGAAAGCTGTTAGATACGTTGTAGGGCTTTAAGGCAGTTATTAATACCGTACTTCATCAGTCAATCTAATTGCAATTCTTGATCTTTCGAGTGTCTATTGGTGCATGGTAATATGAACAATCTCCACCGAATTTACTTCTTAGAATTTTTCCACAATA